TACTATAAGTGCACCACACGTCTACACATGTGAAAAGCAGTTGGACTTAGCACTTACAAATATGCCAGAGTCCATGCATCTTGTTGTATATACAGTAAAACCCCTCTATAGTGAACCCCAATGGGACAGAGCTTTTGGTTCACTATAGCCACGGTTTGGCTATTTTTTTTTTACTTTTCAAAAATTTTAGACTGTATAATTAAAAAACAGCCATACACACAAGTAGAGGCTGCCTCTTAATAGTGGTCACTTTATTTTAATTCCCTTAATTGACTAATTTCCTTATATTAATACTGAATAATAATAGAAATCATTAGATAATAGGTTCTTCTTATGATTAACATACATGTACCTCTATGTCTAAGTTAAAAATCAAGACAAATCCTAGGCAAAGTTTTATTAAATATATATTCAAATATATGAAATAATTTTAAAACATCATTATCACATTATATAATACAATTTTTACTTGAAAAAATGGCTCTAATACCTTGTTGTTTCAAAGCATTCTTCCAAGCATTGCACCATTCAAATAAAGTTAGTGTTTTTCTTCCATTTCATGTTTCCCCATATTCTTCTAGGTCTAGATTTCGTTTTTTTTTTTTTAACCTGCCATGCAAAACATTGCTGACTTTAAAATCACCATAGTTAATGGCATAAAAATAATTTTAGTTTCATCACGGGACCGTTTATTTGGACTTTTTTTTTTTTTTAGCCCTAAAACGTACGATCGCGATCGCGGCAAAAGTTGAAGTTGATTCCTCTTTGTAACAATTTTTAATAACTTTATATTTTATCTTTTATAATAGAAAAGTTATATTCTCATATTTTAATATGTTCTTAACATTTTGCCTATGTTGTTTCACTTTGAAAAGTTCTGAAAATTGCCTTTTTTTTTTTTTAAGAAATAATGCTTTTGTTTTTAAAATGCCTTTGTTTTCTTCATTTTGGAAGCCATTTGCATTTTTTATATTTCAAATTTAATGGATGCAAAGATATTCTAATTAATAAAAAGTATAATGTGTAAAAATTTATACAACATACAGCAAAAATAAAGTGCAAAAATCAAACAAACAATGCCGCTAAATTTATTGTTTTGAAATCGCGATCTGCGAGCTTTAAACATGCTCAAAATTTTGTTTTTTATTTTTTTTTTAAATTACAATATTAAGTTCGTTATAAGCATAGTATTTTTAATAGATTTTATCATTTTGGGACCCGAAATAGGTTCGTTATAGGGGTAGTTCGTTATTCTAAAAATCGCAAAGTTCGTTATAACGATGGTATTTTCAATGGAATGGAATTGGGAATCGGCGTGGGTTCGTTATAAGGGAAGGTTCGTTATATCCAGGGTTCGTTATAGCGGGGTTTTACTGTATATATGTTGATGTCAGGGAAAAATTGAAGGAAGAAAGAGAGGAAGACCTTCAATGAGTTGGCTAGAAGGGGTCAAGAAAGTTACTTGAAGTTCACTAGATGAGCTGTGAGGTCACAGTGATAATGGTGAAAAGTCAACTTGATGAACTTTAGCAATAAACAAACATTTGGAGAAAAAAATCTCATCCAGGGATAAATTTATTCTCGTAGGATCTTTGGAAGAGGCCGCTGCTTATCATAAAATAGCTAAAGCAGCAAGAAATCATAGAATTTGTATAATCTTTACACAAGAGGATAAGAAACAACAACAAGAGTTTTTTCTCTCAAATGCTATGATGCAAGGGGTTATCATTTTTTAAAATTCAAGCTTGATATATTGTTTCGGGCATTCCTTCGAAACAATTATCTTAGTGTGGTGGGGGGGTTGATAGGGTACCATTTTGTATTATATTAGAAACACAAGAGACCAAATCCAAATAAATAAATAGTATGTGACATTTCAGTAAGAGCATTGTTATAAGCTTGAGAAGTATGGACTTATGGAATTTGTAATAATCTTTACACAAGGCAGTTACAAACAATGGTGTTACAGAAATGTCAATACTAATTATTTATTTGGTCTAATTACCTTGAGACACAAGGTTTGATGTGGTTGTTGTGGAATACAAAAATAAGAAGGAAGAAAATGGAGGAAGACTATATTTAGGAGGGAACAATCAAATAAATACATACATACTACATATATATATATATATACATATATACATATATATGAATATGTAGAGAGAGAGGTTATATACAGGGATACAAAAAAAGGATACAACAACAAAACAATGGAATAGGTCAGTGGCATGAATGGTTAGTGAGTCCCTCGCTTCAATCTTCTCTTCGTCTCTTTGGATGATAATGGCTTGGCGGAGAATAGCTGCGTGACCTACGTTTTCCATTTCCCTGGGAGCTACTGCACAAAGAACCAGGTTAGTGTCATGGTGATCTACAGTCTTCCCAGAGCTCTGGAAAAAAAACAGTAAAACCTTGCTAGAATGAACCCCAAAGCAGCTGAACCTTTTTTCGATTATAAATTATAGATTGAAAAAAATAATAGAAAAAAAATAAAAGATAAGTGGGTCAGGTGTTGATATTAAAAATAAAGAAGGCATCTCCTGACCACGAGCATGTGCTTTTTAGATGGCAGAGCACCATCTAGTGGAGCAAAAATAAACTAAACGTTTATTATAGCGTGAAACGAGTTCGGGGATGGCTTTTCTTGATTTATCAAGAAATTGGGTTGGCCAAATATCACGGAGCAAGCTAAATAAACATTTAGTTTATTTTTGCTCCACTAGATGGCGCTCTGCCATCTAAAAAGCACATGTGCTCGTGGTCAGGAGATGCCTTCTTTATTTTTAAATTATATATTATAAATTAGACATAGGATGACAAGAAAAAATACAGTTAAACCTGTCTATAGCGCTCCCTCTTGGGACTCACCAAAATAGGGTGCTATAGAGAGGGGGTACTATAGATAGGTCACTTTTAATGTAAAATGTTTACATTTTAATGTTTAAAATTGGGCGCGAAAGAGAGGAAGGCGCTATTTAGAGGGGGCGCTATAGACAGGTTTAACTGTACATTGTTACTGCAACGTCACTCACAATTTATAGATTAGGATTTGGTCTTGTTACTTTATGGTAGAGTAAAACCTACATGAGAGGACACTTCTCTACTAAAGAGAGTTTCCAATGCCAAAATCACCATTTTTACTGATTAGAAACTCTGGTAAGAGGACACACCTCTCCCTATAAAGGACACTTTTCCCCTGCAAATAGGTGTCCTTTACAGAGAGATTCTACTGTATCATTAATACAGTAAGATCTCTCTGTAAAAGACATCTAGTTGCAAAGCCAAATTGTCCTCTAGAGTTGCTGAATACCATGGTAATTTTGACAATGAAAACTGTCTTTTTTATAGAGAGGTGTCCTATAGCGCGAGTGTCTTCTCAAAGAGGTTCTACTGTATTAGGGATTATTTTAGATTCATTACAGTAGAACCTCTCAAAATGTCCTTTATAAAAAGGTGCCTTCTTACTGGAGAACAGCTAATTGACAAAAAAAATATCATTTTGGCTATGAAAACTGTCCTTTGTAAAGAGGTCCTTTAGCGAGAGTGTTCTCTCATGGAACTGTACTAAAATTCACATTCAATTTATTGAATTTGGATCTGGTCTTGTTTACCCCTTAGGATTTAGATAAAAATAGAATTATAACTTTTATATTATACACACAAGAATTTTTCCATAAATTTTACTGGTCAAAGAAAAAATGTAAGGAAATCTAGTAGACTGGGAAACCTGTGCTTTGACAAATACAGAGTGTGTAGGTTGGTTGTAGAGACATTCAAAAAATGGCAAATCTATTTTAACAGCAGAAATTTATATTTGCTTGATAAATCTTTGTAGATAGGTTGAATTGGACTAGTGGCATCAAATACAGTTATTCTAATACATGTGCCAATCCAATCAGAAAAAAATTGTGTGCATGTGTAAGTATGAAAATCTAGACTTAGTACATTGGTTTCAATAAATCTTATTGATTAGGAACAAATGCTCCAATGGCATCAAACAATAGACCACTTCTCTCACTAAGAATAATTTATTCTTCTTACTTATTCCTAGTACATGCGCAGCAATTATTTTACTGTAAGTACACCACATGTATTCACTGGTAGGGTTGTACTTTTGCATGAATCAGGGGCCATTGAAGTAATTTTTTTGTGTGACCAATGCAGGATTCACTCCCAGGTAATGGTTGTTGAAGACAGTTTATTCTCCACCATATTGGAACTACTGATAATAATATCAAGGAAAATTTTTGTTAAAATTCCATATAGAAGGTTTTTTTTTTATTTGCTTATATATAGTACACGTGGTAGAGTCATGATAATCATGGTGGGTAGAAGTAGGTGACTGCTTTTACTGTAAGTGCACCACGTGTCTACACATGTGAAAAGCAGTTCGACTTTTGCACTTACAAATGTACCAGAGCCCTGTTTGGTTACTTGCACTCGCTGGTGGAGTAGGACTTTTGCAAGAATCGGGGGCCATTGGAGCATTTTTTTTTTATCAGAAAAAAGTGGCAATGCAGGAATCGAACCCGGGTCATAGAGGTTGAAAACCAACGGTTTAGACCATCCCTCCACTGACCCCCATATAGAAGTAGTTGACCACCCACCAGTAGATCACCAGGGAATGGTATTTACCTGGGGGACGGAGCGGCTTCCATCTGGTGATGGATGATTTCTCTGAGGACCTGCGCAACACGCGGTTCAACACACCACCATCTCTACATGTCATCTGATCTACTCACATCAGTGTAGCTCTTGTTCTTGAGATGGACATTCTTGGCTCTGTAAGACTGCCTTCTACGCTTGAGGTCACGTTGGGCAGCAAGGATCTCTAGATGGCTTGGGTGAGCTTCTTTGTCATCTACAATCCCCACACACAATAAACCTCAATATACATTTTTACCTATGTACACACAGATTGTTTTCACACCACAATAGAGCTTCATGTTTACTAGCCAAATGAACCCAGCTTTGCCCAGGATATACCAGAATTGGAAGGAAGAGCCAGTATCCCCTGATGTTCTCAAGTGGTCACCCTCCCAAGTACTGACCTGGCCTGACATTGCTTAACTTTAGTGATCACATAATAACTGGTGTTTTTTCAATGTGGTATAGCCACAGACACATGATATGGCCTATATATATTTAAGAATAAACATTGATATGGCACAATTTGGATTATAGATTATAAACACAAGGTAATTAGACCAAATCCAAATAAATAAATAGTTTGTGACATTTTGGTAACAGCATTGTTACCATCTTCATTCAGTACTTTTGTCTGAAGATGGTAACAACGCTGTTACCGAAACGTCACACACTATTTATTTATTTGGTCTTATTACCTTGTTTTATTTGGATTTTAAACATAATCAAATTTTATCATATTGTCAGGAGGACAGAGTTTCCTGGTATTCCCTTTTATCTGGACCGACCGGTCGGGGTAAACAGTGGCGCCACAGAAAAGGAGGAAAGATCTCAGTTCTCCCCTCTGGCTCTAACGGCTGGGTCGATTTGGCTCATGTGTACATAGTAACTCTTATTTTATATTTAAAATCTTGCATATAACTAATTAGATAAATATTTAAAGTAATTCGAAGGCCTATTTAATTATTTTTCATTGCGACAATATAATTGTGAAAGCATGGCCTAAAGAATTGTCACAATCTCTTCAAAATTCGAATTAAGTGGCACATATTGATCTAGAGCGATTGCACTCAGAACGTCCTTGAAAATATCCAAATTATTTGCTGTTGAAGAGAAGGCAAACTTTCAAGGGACAACTGTGAATAACAAACTATACACATACATATAAAATGAAAGGATTTAAAAGCGCGAATGTTTCCCCTATACACAATACAAACTTCTACTGCCCTTACTGCGATGAAAAAATATATTGGGAGGGGTTGGCTCATCAGTGGTGAACCCTCCCAGCGGTTTCACCAATTTAATCCACCAGACCGCTTCTCAGAGCTCCAATACTGTATTGGACGATTCTGCTTATATACGCAGCCCTGAAGGATGGAATCTCAGAAATGGTTTTCAAGAAAACTATGGACATAAGCTTATAGGACAGTAGAATTACATTCAAATATTTACATTTAGCAATGCTCTTCCGCAAACAATAAAGACAAGGCCAGTTAGGCATAAATTAACACAAAGCAATAACGCGCTATTGCTTTGTGTTATATACATACAGTAGAACCTATTTAATTTAACCAACTATAATTCAACACCCAGACTCTAATTTAATCGACTATAAGTCAATACCAACTTTAAATCAACTGGCTATAATTCAACACCCAGACTCTAATTTAATCGACTAAGTCAATACCAACTTTAAATCAACTGGCTATAATTCAACACCCAGACTCTAATTTAATCGACTATAAGTCAATACCAACTTTAAATCAACTGGCTATAATTCAACACCCAGACTCTAATTTAATCGACTATAAGTCAATACCAACTTTAAATCAACTGGCTATAATTCAACACCCAGACTCTAATTTAATCGACTATAAGTCAATACCAACTTTAAATCAACTGGCTATAATTCAACACCCAGACTCTAATTTAACGACTATAAGTCAATACCAACTTTAAATCAACTGGCTATAATTCAACACCCAACTTTGATTGACTTTAATTCAACCAAAAATTCTGATCCCTAGGTTGAATTAAAGCAGCAGGAGTGTATAATTGTGAAAGTCCATTCAAGAAGAAGGAAAGTTGGGTCAATCTCACCAAACTGCTGTGATTCTACCCCAGTTGGACTGTCACAACCAGGAGAAGATGTTACCTTGTTTCTTGCCCGGGGTTGGCAGGTTGAGCTCCTCCAGGGAAAGGGATGAATGGCGATGGAGATGTCGGGCCTTGTCAACTACATAGTCGTAGATGGCCACCCGCTGTCTGGGACTGAGGTCTGTAGAGATCTGGTAGTTGGGACCAGGCACGTTGCGCACTACACCAACCCCACATTACCTCAGGTTTATGATTTGGCTTGAATAAAGAGTTTGGATCCAGACGGACCACATTGTATATATACACTGCACACTTATAGATGATACGGCACAATTAGGATTATAGATTAGAACAACAGTAGAACCTCCCTGTAAAGGACACCTAATTGCAGAACCAAAGTGTCCTTTAGGGAGAGGTGTCCTCTTACCGAAGAGTTGCTAAATTGTGAAAATGGTAATTTTGCAAATGAAAACTACTTTGTAGAGAGGTGTCCTCTAGCGCGAATGACCTCCCATGGAGGTTCTACTGTACAAGGTATTAAGACCAAATCCAAACAAATAAATAGTGTATGACGTTCAGGTAACAGTGTTGTTATCATCATTAGACAAAAACCGAATAATTTGTCTGATAATGGTAACAGCGCTCAAAACATCACTCACTATTCATTTGGATTTGGTCTTATTACCTTGTAGTACATCACTTAGATGTTATATTCCCTAAAACTAAATCCAATATATCAAAATGGTTTAAGTTTTAAAATATTGGTGCTATGGGGGGGGGGAGCAGATAATTTTTGTTTTTAATCTACAGAGTATTCTCACAATGAGTTTCTTTTTATATTTTAAAATGCTATGTTTCTCAATCAATAATCACTCTCTTTTAGATGCACTAAACAGGACCTTTGGGGGAGGCTGCTGCTTATTATAAAACAGCTCGAGGAGCATGGACTCATGGAATTTGTGTAATCTTTATATAAGGGGATAAGAAACAATAACAAATTGTTAATGCCAATGGTTTGGTGGTGTTACCAATTATCAGTAGTCCCTATTAACACCTTATTTCACACCATTCATGAGAATATTGTTAATGCTAATGAGATTAGAGATAGAATAGGGATTATTTTTTTAGATAATAAAGTAAATGTCCAAGGGGATGGGTATCTTTTATTAAACAGTTTCGATACTAACTCCACCCTTGCCGGTCCCAAGCCCGGATGAAAAAGGAGGAGGCGGAGCAGTAACAAGCTAAATAAAAAACCTGGGTTCAGCTGGCCCAGCTGATAGTACCCTGTAAGGGCTCCTGATCCTGGGATAAAGGATGAGCAGCGTTGGTACTCCATGTTAGGAGCGGCTGCACATGGCGTCTGTTCCTCATGTCAGAGGCGGCCATTTATTTTGGAGCTAAGTCGGCCTGCCACTGAGTAGTGCTCCCAGTCTTAATGACAAAAGCAGACACATTCTACTTCACCCAGTGTGGAGATAAGAAAGAAGAAGAAACGGTTTTGAGCTTTCAGGATAACGTTTAATAAAAGATACTCATCCTTGGATGTTTATTATCTAAAATTGCTAGCAAAGGATTATATTCTAAAGAATAGGGATTAGTTTTGGGGTATTGCCAATTAAGCAGTTGATGGCCGACACTCACCTGGGACTTCCGAAGGAACGTTGGAGAGGATCTGATATTGGGTATCACTATCTGAAACACAAAGTTGTGAAGACAAACCACTTGAAGGCAGGGATGAGAGAAATTGGAATTTAAAATGTAACAAGACCAAATGAAAAAGATTTTTCATGCCTTTCGATACCTCAGGACAGGGATAAGATCCCCTTGGGGACTCCCCTAATTAATTCTATTTACATACTATGTTTGAAATCATAAAACATGGTACGTGCTCTGCATCACTTGTACTTCTAGTATACCCCTTGTAAGCTTCTTGTCTACCTCCTATACACTTCTTGCTACTTATATTGTACATCTCTTATATATAAATACGTCCAGGGTAGCCTAGTGGACATGGCATCCGCCAGGTAAGCGGAACATTGTGGGTTCGTTTCCCATCCCTGGACACTTTTATTTTTCCGTTCATCATTACTCTTCATAATTTACCCTTTCATACCTCATCCAAAAAGGTTAGAAATAGTCAATATTTCACCTTGAAATAAATTTTGATTTTTCATTGAAAAGAAACTCATGCGGTGTAACTTCAAGTGTTGTTTTACAATCACAAGCCGCAGTGTATTATATATATATATATATACTTGGTGCATATTTTTATTTTTGACACATATGAATATATGCTGTCAAACCCCATTACAACAACATCACTAATAGTCTGACAAAAGAGCTTCTTTATACTAAACAATTGTACAAACTTTCTTCTACCTGACCTGTGGTTCTTCTTCTAGAGTAAATATTGTCTTAATTAAAACTTAGTTGCTGTTATAAAGGAGGCCTGTTATAACCTCTTGGGGGTGGTCTCTTATCAGAGGTTCTGCAACATGACACGATGGGAGAGGGGGTTTCCGTTTTGGTCGAACTGTGATAACTTCTAACAATACAATGAACTTTAGAATTACGATAACTTCGAAGCACTGATAACTTAAAACTGTGGTTACTTCAAACACTACATGACTTCCAACATTACGATAACTTCGAACACTGAAAACTTCAAACTGTGGTTACATGTATCAAAAACTATATGACTTCCACATAATTATAACATCTGACAATAATAACTTCAAACTGTGGTTATACTTCAAACCCTGCACATGACTTCCCGAACACAACTCCGCCTTTGCCGGTCCCAAGCCCGGATGAAAAAGGAGGAAGGGGAGCAGTAACAAGCTCACTAAAAAACCTGAGCTCAGCTGGCCCGGCTGATAGTACCCTGTAAGGGCTCCTAATCCAGGGATACAGGATGAGCAGCGTTTGTACTCCATGTTAGGAGCGGCTGCACATGGTGTCTGTTCCTCATGTCAGAGGCGGCCATTTCTTTTGGAGCTAAGTCGGCCTGCCACTGAGTAGTGCTCCCAGTCTTAATGACAAAAACAGACGCATTCTACTTCACCCAGTCATTAGGCTGTCAAACAGACACCATCAAGGGTCACAACTTGATATCCTAATATGATTGAGTGGAGATAAGAAAGAAGAAGAGGTTCTGCTTCAGTTGGAAGACTCCTCAAGACCTGACATGTCCGAAGTCTAGGTTGAACCTGGTTTAACCATTGTTTTATAGGCTGCTCATGGGAAGACTCCCATGATACCAAAAACAACAACAAAACAACTTTATTAGGGCGTCTTGCCCTGTACAGATTCGCCGTGGAATTACAGACAATATTCAACACAAGAGAAAAGGGAGAGATAGAGTATTTACAA